TTCCCTAAACCTACTAATATTTAATTAGGACCAATGTCCACTTCCCTTGATGATATATATACATGTTCTCCAGGATAAAAATAAATATAACCCAATAAATTAGAAAGAGTGCTGGGCTGGAGACCAAGTAATCTTGAGTAAAATTTTCCAGGCTGATAGGTTCCATAAGGAACAGTAGAAAACAAGCCGTGTAAGACTCTCTGCCCGTTATATTTTTGCTTAATCTTTATAGATGTATCTAAGTACTCTGGACCTTATCCAATGGGCCAGTTTTCAACTAACCAAATTGGGGAGGAAGACAGTGGTGCAGGCGGGTGGAATTCTAAGCCCTTTCCAAACTTTTTGCTTTGAAATCTTTGCTTGCAATAAAGTTTGAAACCATAGCTAAAAGCAAGAAGACAGGGGAGCTAAGTTATCTAAATAGTAAGAAGCTGTTTCTGTCAAAAGATTGCTCAAAATGCTGTGAAATAGTTGGGGGGGGGCTGCTCTCAGGTGGGTATCAGCAGACAAGGCTGAGGCAGGGTGGGCAGAGCAAAGCAGAACAGGAATAGCCACAAACTCCGGGCCAACAGGGGAGACCTTACTTCTGTGAAGCTTTGCTGAAGACAAAACCAACAGCTGGTATTATGGAAAGGAAAAGGTGGCTGATGGTTTGTTGCCCTTCCGATCCTTAGTTTGCTCACACCGAGAGTCTGCTATGCACTCTCTGTGGACAGATCTGCTTAGAGCTATGAGATCACAACGTGGCACTCTTAGTCTACAAATATCCTAAGAGGCCGCCCTCCTGGAGAACTTCTCTCTCTTAGGACCTCAGAGTCAGCGCTGCATCTCAGAGCACGCCCTGGGATCCCATCTCAGAGTTACCCAACTCAGACCAACCGTGGGAGCTACTGAAGGAAAAGATTTAGAGCAGAGTTAAATTGGAGAAATCTATAGAAGACTGACAGATTATTTTAAATGCCTCCCTCATGTCATGACGTAATAGATATCCTTGCACACCAGTCAACTTGGCAAAAATTAAACAAAATGAGCCACACACAGCTACCTACAACAATATGAACAAACTTCACAAGTGTACCATTGAGCAAAAGGAGGAAGGTGATACCAGATGGTATGGAGAGAAGAGAACGCTTCTAAACTGCTGGTGGGAATGCAAACTAATACTACAAAGAAGTAAGGAGAATCCTCAAAGATATACGTAGACCCTCCATTTGACCCTGCAATCCCATTACTGGGTATCTACCCAGAAGAACAAAAATCATTTTACCACAAAGCTATTTGCACTAGAATGTTTATTGTGGCTCACTTCACAATTGCCTAGTTGTGAAAGCAACCTAAAAGCCCATCAACTCATGAATGGATCAATAAACTGTGGTACATGTATACCATGCAATATTTTTCAGCCATTAAAAAAAAAGAAGACTTTATATCTTTTAGATTTACCTGGATGGAGTTAAACTACATTCTTCTTAGTATCTCAAGAATGGAAAAATAAAATGTCCAATGTACTCTATACTAATATGAAATCAATATATAAACAATTACATGCTCATAAGAACAATGACACACTAATATACTCTAGCTCGGGGATAGAGGGAAGGATGTTTGGCGGAGGGAGGGCAGGAGGCAGGATCTCACCTAATGTGCTATTGTGAGGGTGTGTAACACGGCCCCTGGGTGAGGGGCTCTAACACAAATGGAACTTTACCCTGGAAGTGAGAACAATGTAATCTAAAAACTGTACCCTCATATTACTTTGATTAAAAAATTAAAAATAAACACAAACTAAAAAAAAAAGATGAAAGAACACATTCACTAAATGTTCATTCATATAAAGTTCAAGAACCAAAGGTACATTGACTCAGATGGTAAAACTGAAGAAATGCAGGGATACAGTTATCACAAGAAACAGGATAATGAAAACCTGCGGAGGGCAGGCAGTGGTTATGGTCAGAGAGGGGTCTCTCAATGGCTGTTGATGACACGGATTTTCGCTTGTAATATTTGTTAAATTGTACGTTTATGAGTGTTTCTGCATACTTTTTTTTTTTAACAATTAAAAAATGCCATAGTGGAATCTTGAGATCAAAAGTTTTAGGCTTTTTTTGGTGGTGATGGGGGCGACAGAGTTGCCAGGCTGAAGTAAAGTTGTATGATCACAACTCATTGCAACCTCCAACTGCTGAGGCTCAAGCCTTCTGAGAAGCTAGG